CGAACCTTTCTCACCTCCACGAGGAATGGCAGCTTTCATAACTCGAGAAGATCCTCTCCGGGAACAAAACAGCGTTCCGATTAGTAGATTGTCAGTCGTGGATATCCTGGCTCTCATCACGACGACAGCGTACACCTTTTCTGCCGCTCTGCCGACCTTGAAAATTGGCAAGGAAGAAGATATACTGACCCGAGGTTTATCTTATGCCTGATTTCGATTTGAATGAGGTACTATGGCGGCCCTTTGCACCCAAGGTACTCTCATTAGGTACTCTCTACGGAACGTTTGGCTAGGTCTTGCGAGACTCTTCTCGGTAGAAAGTTTTGTGGCCGCAGATACACATTCTTGCCTCGTTTGTGGTTCGACTTTGATGATACTTTGGCAGGCCAGTTCTCGAGATCGCAGACACACAGATCCCATCGATGGGCAAACGCAAGCCTACGCAAATGTCATCGGCGCTGCGGCAAAGCACTCTAGAATGCAACAGCAGGTGGTAGACCGCGTGCTGACAGGGTGGCTGGATTCGCCTCCTTGGTTCCCCCTGATCAAGGCACCGAGGACCCAAGTAGTCAATGATGTCGCGTCCGACGCCGTTGCTGTCATCCACTCGGGGCCGCCACTTTCAGGGCCCCTTGTGTCTATCAATCCCTAGACCCAGACGGCGTGCTCCTCCCCGCCTCGATCACAATGTCCGTGGGCGTCGCCGACGTCGACGACGACTGTCGTGGACACTGGGCATCAACTGTTGCGATGACGAACGTATCACAGGAAAGGGGGCGCAAGACCATCTTTCGTACGATTATGATGATCGGGTCTGGATGCTTCCTGCCAGGACGACTCGCGCGACTGTCAGAGCAAGGTGTTCTTGAAACCCTCTCCCCCTCCTTCGCTGGCTGTAGAGTCGTATTGAATCGCAAGATTCTTTCCGAAGCAAAAGTGGAGCTAGGGTCGTAGGGACAGGAAACCTTTTTTCTCTCCTGTTCCCTTGGCCTTTGCCTGTGGGAGCTGGTCGGCAAGCAAGCACGCAGTACGGCTTGGCTGAGCTTCTATTCATATTCTCATCGTGTTTGGTGTTTGTCCGTACCATAGCACGCTGCGACGCCGGCCTCGTCAGTCGACACGCGGGCGTGCGTATCTTTTCCAAACTCCCTCCACCACCACCGTTCAACATTTGCCTTGCCCACTCTTGGCCTCACTCCACTTGTCTTCAGCAGAAAAGTGTGAATCTGGCGAGAATCCATCACAGCAAGATTGCAACGTGGGTTCTTTCCACGACTGCATAGAACCTACGGCACTTGGACCCCTTCTCCACTTCCTCGCCGGCGTCGTCAACGTGCTTGATCCCCATCCGGTACTGACTTCCCCGGGTCCATGATCCATGAGCAATATCACGAGATGACGAGATGAGGGAGATGGCAGCTATGGCCATGCTGCCGTAGGGCCAACACTCGGAGACTGAGTGATCGCCAACTCTCACAGGGCCGAATGCTCCGGTGATCTCGGGCCTTGCAAGTTTTATGACCGTAGATGGCTTCACTTTTCTGAATCGACGGTCGTGGGTTTAACCTTACGTATGTAGCAGTTGTCCCGGTGGCAACATATCCAACACGACGGCACGGACAGCAGCGGCGGCGGCGACGACGAGGTTACCTGTTCTTTCACTGACGCCACTACCTACAGCTTGATTTTGACAGAAGAGGAGGGTGTGTATACGGGTTGCAGACGCGACGGCGATCAGAGCTTGATAGGTGGCACCCCTCCTCTACCTGCTCTTTCTCTCGGTCTCTGGCTGTATCACCATACCTACTCTCCTCGAGGCTCTCTCCGCCTCTCTTTCTCGCTCGCTCATACTTCCCTGCCATGGGACGTATGGCGTACGGGAGCATCAAGGGCCTGGGGCCGTGGCAGTTAACCTTGATCTTAAGACCTTGGATCTTAAGGCCATGTCCACTCGAGCAATGATTTGAATGGCCCCATTCACATCCACATCCCCCCTCCATCACACTCGAACTCACCTGAACACACGCCCCCTTCCCCCCTTTTACTCTGCAAATCTGCAACGATGCCCACAATATGCTGTAGCGAGCTGTGTCGTCCTCTTCGGATGTTTTTTTCTTCTTCCTGTGTTAATCTGCTTGCTGGGTTGCCACGCCTTCGGTGAACCCCCCGGAGCCCCTCTCTCAAAGCTCGCCTCTCCTCTTTCCGGACCCGCTTGGGTTTTTTCGGGGTCTATCCGTACCAACTTGCTCTGCTACTCGTAAATGAGCAAAAGCTACGGGATCTGAGTTGAGCTGCTGGGGAAGGGGAGGGATGGTGGCAGTTCAGGTTTCTTGGTCCTTGTTTCCTATCCGGCAGACGACACGCCCGGCGGGACACTTCACGAATTGTACGGTCAAGTCGCAAAGCTAGCCCTCATAACGATTCAAGCGAACGAACCCTCTCGCGTGCGGCTCCATCTCCCTCATATCGTGTCCGCCCGCTACCATCACGACTCAGACGACGACACAAGCTATCCCGCTGCCCGCCGTCCCTCGCCCGTGACCCGCGTCCAACCGTGTCACCCATCACGCGGTCCGCTGCTTCTCTCGGGGAGAGGAAGGAGGGTAGCACGGTGGGTAGACAGGAGGAGGGGTTGGAAAAGCCGTTGAACTAACTGAACCCCCAAGCACGCACCCCGGAAAGCGTAGCAGCGAAGAGCAGAGAGCAGAGCAGAGTAGTATACTACAGATTAGAGCTTCTTCTGGAGAGTAGCACCCGTTTCTTAGCAGCTCTGAGGGTGTTACTTTCCCCTTTCTGCTCTGCTTCGCTATTCTCGAGTCCTTGCTGACCCTTGATTGTCAGGTTCGCACAATGTCCCCTTTTCTTTTTGCTACACTGACTTGGGGCTGGCCTTACCTTGCCCCTCTCTTCCGACCCCCCCTTGCTAGAACCAGAGCTACCTTGTGCCTTACCTGAGAGCTCTCCGCAGGCGCAGGCGCAGGCGGCAGCCTTCCATTTATGCCCCTGATTATAAGGCAGGAAGGAAGCCGAGCAGCGGCTGGCGGAGTGAGAGGTTGGTTGACAGGGCCTTTGACGAGGGGAGAGATTGTTGGCAGGAGAGAAGAGTGAGTGACTTTGTGTACGCGGAGTATCAGTATGGAAATACTACGGTAAAGTCGGTACATACCACAATACAACGTAACCCCCCTTTCCCCCCCCCCTCTCCTCCCGCGCCCGTGGGCGCGAGTGGGTAGGCGAGATTTGAGAGAGAGATACTCTGTGGTTAGCTGGGTATGTAGGTATGTTGCTGGGTGCGTTATATTCTGCGTGATTTGAAAGGACGAACGTCTCAGGATGGCCGTCGGTGGTGGTCGAGCTTGGGATGTTGAAGGAAGAGGAGGAGTATCCGTAGAGGGAGCAGTTTGGACAGTTTGGGGAGAGTAACGTACCTTTTCTCTTGATGGGACATGTTCCGAGGAAGGAAGATCAAGCCTTCTTCGTCCGTGACTTGAATCCCGCTCTCTTGTGATGCTTTTTGGCTCCCATAATGGTAGAATGTACTCCGTACACTCTCTCTCGTCTCCTCTGTTCGCGCGTACGAAAAGGTAGCTGTCCAGCGTTGGTCTCGTCTGTGTTTTCTCCTTTTCTCTTCATTCTCAAGTACCACTCCGCGCGGGTATTCTTCTCGTGATATATTGCCTGGATTCTGTGACATCGTTCGAGGTATCCGTTCTCATGGGTTGGATGAATGGATGAATGGCTTGGTAGATGTGATGAGACCCCCTTCCTTCTTCCTCCTCCTGGGACCTCCCCTGGGAAGCAAGAACAGATGCCGTCGTCGGATTCCGAAAGGGTCGGGGGGGCGAAGTGATTCAAGCGAGATGGGAAAGCTACGGTCAACCGTTTGGCGCAGTGTCATCACATATTTGCCGTCTGCTCGGCTCGGGCCCAGTGGAAGGGAGGTGTTCATCAGACCCTGAGGTTGAAGTGTTAAGAGGTTCTAGATATTACATGTTCATATCCGTACACCGAATTGAGGCTCCAAGGTGAGGGAATTTGGCAATGGTGGCTTTGTACTGTTCCCACTTGCTTGTTCCCCCTTCCCCCCGGGCCCCGGCTTCAATATCCCATCTCCTTGATCCTTACACCGACCTCGTTGCCCCCTCGTAGTTTATGTCTCTGGTGTTTAGCTGTACGGATGTACGGAGTACTCCCTAGGTTATAAATTTAATCAATCGGGCTCGGCAGTCGGGGGGACAGAGACGGGGAAAGGGGGTCCGGGAAATATTTCGATCTGGAAGGAGAAAAGCCTGGGAGATTGAGGACGGGATATCCGAGAAAGGGGACGGGAGAGAGGAACCAGGGGAGAGCAAGTTCACTTTTCTGAGATGCCTGTGGATTCCTGCTCTGTAACCCACAGCATACCAAGTCTTCTTTTCGGGTCTTGAATGTGGCCTGCAAAGCGTAGCTTAGATCAAAAAGGGTTACCTAGAGGACAAACATCGGAAGGAGGGTGAAGATGAGTAGGGTATCGGTCGTCATCCTGCCCCTACATCTACCCGGCGTCATGTGAATACTGTAGCCCCCCTTAGCCACCGCATATCTTATTGAAGGGACTTTGAGAAAGGGGGGCCTTTGTAGATGGAACTTTGCCTTGGGAAGTAGCCTATGCTGCTGATGATGCTAGCACTGCAAGAGCAACAACCTCGTACATGGGCAAGTGCCATGATCCCAAAAGTCTTTCACAGCAGGAGCAAAGGTAGCTGGAAAGCGAGAGGATTAGAATTGAAAGGGACTGATACGGGCAGAAGGTTCAACATCAGTTCTGCATTAACAAGCCGGTCGGTGCTCGGTGCCTTAGATGTTCATATTCTAGATAAAAAACCGATCTTCATAGAAAGAAAGGGGAAGCAGGGAGGGCGCCATTCGTTCTTTGGCCGAGATGCTGCTGAGCAACTGCCTCTTTATCACATCATAGCACCACAAATTACGGTTTTTAAAGTTCTAGTCAAGTGTTTGTGGTTCATTAACATCATCGTCTTCTTAGACCTTCATCATCCCATCATCCTGTCGTCGTCTCCAAGTTACTATGCCGTGAGGCGGTATCACGCCCCCTTTCTACCAAAGGTGAACACCCCGCCCGATTGTACCTTAAGTAACCCATCCATTTCACAGTGAATCCTCATTATTCAGTCGTCGTCGCTATCCCCTTCCTGATCCGCCAACGCCATTTGAACAAAGTTTCTGATCCAAGCCTGCTGCGCCGCATCGAGCTCTCCGTCACCCAAACCCTCGACCATATCGGGGTCAAAGTCTTCATGCCGACGGGGAGGCGCCCCCCGTCGAGCCTCCGGCTGCTGGTTCTGTCCAGGTCCGCCTCTGTGATTACCACGACCGCCTCGGCCTCCACGGCCACCTCGTCCACCTCGAGCTGCCGGAAATCCTCTTCTCGCAGGATTGGGCGGCGCCTGAGGTGCGGCTGGCGGGATAGGACCATGAAGCGCTGCTCCGATTCCTGCACCTCCCCGACCTCCTCTGGGAGCTGGATTGGCCTCAATACGTAACACAAGCGGTCCCTCTCGAGCAACACCACCAGCCGCAGGACGTGCTGGCCGATCTGCATCGTTCTCCTCCGTATCCGAATCGCTGTCGTCCGGCTCTTCGATCTCGGGAACAAGGTCAATAACCGGAGCTGGAGGTGCGGGAGGTGGGATCTCCAAAAGCCGCTCGATCTGGTGTCCACCAGCGTAGCCAATATCGACATTGTCGCCGTCGCCGCCTTCGAGCTCCCACAGGCGCATGTAGCAGGAAGTGATCTTGCCGTTGGGCTGTTCATTGAAATGGGCATACGGGTTTCTCGGGTCGAGCCAGGCCGAACATAGATAGCAAAAGTGGGAGGCGCAGCGGAAGCAGATCATATGATTGCAGCCATGAGTCTTCTGCGCCGGAACACCACACGTAGGGCAGGGCGTCGTATGCAGGTTGATGTAGTCGATTGAGGCCTGTTCCTCTTCGGAGATTTCGCCCTTGTCTCGCTTGGGCGTACATCTGATGAACTCGCCATGCCATGACTGGTAGCAGCGGCTGCAGAAAGCGAACCCGCAGTCTTCACAGATGGCTATCAGATCTTCAGCCTGGAAGTTCTTCTTCGCCTTTTTCTTCTTTTCGCCCGCACCGTCTTCTCCGTCAGCGTCGGTCTCGTCTTCCGTCTCCTCATCCGAACTCTCGTCGATCGTCTCAAGTCCCTCGGGCTTCCGGTGCTTTTTGGACCTGGCCGCACCCTGGCACCAAGATCGGGGGCAGTAGATCGTGTTCTTGTCGGATTCGAGTTCGTTCTTGTACTTGAGCGTCACGTAGCGAGTCACCATGTCATGGGGTAGCCCCATCTGAAGCAGTTCACTAGGACTGATCGAGGTTTTGGCCTTCCTCTTTTTGCCCTTGCCCGATCCTCGCGCCGCTTCGGCACGCTCTTTGGAACAATTGGGAGCGAGGCAGCGGACAGTCGCTAAGTCTCCTTCCGTAATAGCATTACTGTAGAACTCCTGCAAGCACTGAGTACAGAAGATATGGCCGCAATCGAGCATCTTGTGACACATTAAGCCCTTCTTGGGATCTGCCGATAGTAAGCGTTAGCAGCCAAGAATACTGGGACGCGGAGGGAAACCATACCTAGACAAACACCGCAATCGAAGGTCTCCTTCTCGAATGCCGCCCGAGTAGCCTCAATGTCGTAGTCCAGAATGGCAATCTTGTGCAACGGGTCGATCTCCAACGCGCCAGCTCCGTCAACCATGCCAAACACATCGTCAGCCGCTTGCTGGATCTGGTCAATGTAGGAAAAGACAATCATGTCGCGACCCATCTCCTCCCATAATCTCGGTCCGTCGTCTTCCAACTTTTTGGTCACACCTGCGGACAGCCACGGCGGCGATGTACTGATGCTGACACTCGGGGGCTTGTCGGAGGGGTAGCCCTTGGGCAAGCCCATGCGGATCACGACGGCGGGAAGGTGCGAGAGCTCATGGGAGTCGACCCGGGGTTCGACGCCGGGAACCTGGGCGGCGGCGGTGTCGTCGGCATTGGATGCGGCCGGGAAGGTGACCGTTACGGGTTTCGCGGGATGAACGGGCAGTTCGATAGTGAAGCAAAAGGGCCGGTGGTCGTCGAGCTCGATTTCGGGGAAGATTGCCTGCAGAGAACTGAGCTCATCCTGGCGCGGGTCGTCGCTATCGTCGTCCATGGCTATTACTGGTCGGAAGGCGCGTATTGCATGCTTTGAGGAAAATTAAAATCAAAGCTGCCAGACAGTCGTCAAAAAGCGAGTGGGGTCTTGAGCTTGTGTGAAGTAGCGGCGAACATGAGAGATGGGTATTTGAACGCGGAGAGACGACTGGTGGCGAAAGTCGCAAAGTTTTGGTGGTGTTGGCGAGAGCGTGATGGTGATGATTGGAAATAAACTGGAGACGGTCGCGGAACCCGCGAGAAGTGCGACTGGCTATGACGGGACCATTCTTCTTTTTCTTCTCGGGCCAAGGTAAGTAATCTAGCGCAGGGGAGAAGAAGCGAGAGATCGCAGCTGTAAGAGCGCCTAGATCAAGCAAAAAATGGCTGACTGGCGTTCGGACAGACAATGAAATGATGACTCTTTGGCCGTTACAATCGCGGGGCAAAAAGAGGCAGCAGAAAAGAATGACGGTGGGGTCATTCGTTATCAGTCTGTCCCTCGGCCGATAGGAGTGACAAAGGGCGACGCCGCGACGGGAACCTTCAAGGAAATGTGGAAGGCACGAAGGGTCCAGGCCTACGGATACCTACAAGCCACAAAGGCGCCACAGAAAAATTAGGTAGGTAGGCATGCTCGCACAACCGCATCCTGTGCTGGCTGACGGGGAAATACAAGCTCCCGATTGGTCCGAGCTCGAAACTATGCAACCTGACGTAGTTATGCAAGTACGCAATGGAAGAGAAGAAGAAATAGAAGCTTGGCCGTAGAAGGGACCCGGTGCACTCTGCACAGCTGCACTTTGACAATTCTAAAGTGCTGTGCACCACGATCCGCGACGTCTGCTCTAACTTTACCAGCCCCTAGGAGGAGTCAGTCAGTCAGTCTGACAGCCAGCCCAACATCTCTCCACCGCCCAACCTCTTTCCCGCCGAGGCACATGGCATCTCGCATTTAAGATCTCTCCAGATCCCTCTCCTCCCCCCCAAATCCCCCTCGAGGACAAGGCCATCATATCGAAACTCACGGCCAGGCAAATGCAGTCGAGTCGAAAACCATGGACCAAGACACGAGACCACTAGCCTCGCTTTCCCTGACACACGTCTACTATGTGAGACCAGAACCCCGAGGAAATACTTACTGCCAGTGACTTGCTTGAACGAGAAGAAAAAAACTAACCAATACTTTCGAAACCACACATAGGACCCCGACGACTCCCTCTCCTTCCTCTGCGCATGGCTCGCGCTCCTCCCGCAAGCCCTCTGCATCGTCTACGCGACCCTGATCTGGTCCACCCGCGAGGTCGAAATCGCCCTCATGTTCACCGGCCAGCTGGGCTGCGAGGCCATCAACTTCGCCCTCAAGCGCCTGATCAAGGAGGAGCGCCCCCGCCGCATCCACGGAAAGGGCTACGGCATGCCCAGCTCCCACGCCCAGTTCGTCGCCTACTGGTCCGTCTTCCTCGTCCTGTTCTTGCTGGTCAGGCACCGTCCCTCGTCCGCGCGCCGGCACCACCGGCCGTACTCGCTCGTCGAGCGCGTCGTGGTCAGTGCCGCTGCGCTGGGCATCGCTGCGGCCGTGGCGTGGAGCCGGATATACCTGAATTACCACACCGAGAAGCAGGTGATGGTGGGGTGCTTGGCCGGGACGGTGTGTGCCATCGGCTGGTTTTTGGTCACGGCCATTGCGAGGGATTTTGGGCTTCTGGCCTGGGGCTTGCAGACGCCCGTTGCGCGGTTGTTCAGGTTTCGGGATCTTGTCGTGGAAGAAGACCCGTGCCAGGCTGGCTGGGATAAGTGGGAGGAGAGGCGTGTGGAGGCAGACCAGCAGAAGACTAAATGAAATAAGCAGAGCTACGTAGGATTCTTGCGTTATGGAACCCGCAGGACCTTTTGCACCGAGATCAAGCAGATGAATTACCACTAGCTCCGCTATCTTGATTGTGTGTCGGTGTCAGTAGGCTTGCCAATTTTCTGCGCCAACCTCATGACAACCTCAAATCGCCGTTCGGAGAATCCCATAATACCGCTAAATGTCTGACCTCGTGTTCCAAAAACAGAGAGATTCCTGTAACAAAAAAGGCAAGGTAAGTTTAGAACTACACGGTCTCCTTTGAGAGTTGGATTGAATGCAGCGTGACTTCCAAAGCCAGTGAAAACGGAAAATTCATCATATGAGCGTGGAATTTCTACCAAGGCAGACGACGATTTCCCAGGTACTGTAGTTTCAGGGAACTATTAGTGTTCAAGCTTCCTGTTAGTTGAATTAGCACCTCGGACAGCAGTAGCTGGCAGTGCGGAAAGGACTGGCATTTATCACGGTGTTATGCAAGTAGTCCGCCAAGTTCATGATTGTTTGAGCTCTTTGATTCATTGAGCTATCTCTTCTGTGCTATAGAGCCCTCTGGTGGCATTTACCTCCGCTCGCCAAGTCCGTCTCGTGGCTAGTCATACCGTCGTCATTGCCATCCTTCCATTTGGTAGTCCTTGACTCTTTGATTCCTCCTTTACTGGGTTCTCCTACACTCAATGAAAGCCTTGTTCCGCCCCCAAGATCGTACACAATGTGCTTTTTTGGAGCACATCGCCCAAGAGACATAAGAAACAAACAATATGTAGACGTTATTAGTCATACAGGTATCTCCGCATAAAAACGCCATCCAATGAAATAGTAAATATAAGAAGAGAAAATAGTTCGCCAACAAACTCCGTTCAGTGACCGAAAAAGTTGGATCATACGCTTTTACCGCCCGGTTTAGTCGAGTGTCTATAACGTTTTTTTGTAGCGCGTGCGATAAATGCCAGTATTGGTACAGGTCGCGGATCTGGACTTAGATCCAGTTGCGCTTGTCGTGTTCAGCAGAACATTGGCAATTCTGCTTGGTGCACTTGACCGGCGACTTCTTTCGCTGCGCAGGGGTGTTGAAGCCAACACCCTGAGGGCTAGTCACCCTCGTCTTCTGAGGGCTCTCAGGCCTGTAAACAGCCGGGCTGAGGGTAAGCTGCTCCGGCTCTTGCTCCTTGAGCTGGGACTGCCTGGGTACGGTGACCTTGGGAACAGATGGGAGCGTCTTCATCCGCAAATCCTTTTGGGGGCGGATGGGAGAAGATGAGACCAAGGTCGCATCCTCCTCAGAGTCGGATGAACCACTGTCGCTCAGGACGTCGACCTGAGCCAAGGGGCTGGGCCGCTTGATAGGCTCGTCATCCCTCTCATCGGGATAGCTCAAGCTGTTCACGCTGGCATTATTCTGGAAGTACTGTGAGTTGAGCGGGGGCATGTCGTCGACGTTTGACAGCCGCAGGCCAATCTGCACAGTCGCTGAAGATGCAAGCGAAGAATCGCGACGATGGCGGATACCCTGAGGGTGGAGTGATGGCGGAGGTCTGAGTAGCATCATCTCGTCCTCGTCAGGGATTCTCGCGCCAGGGGCGTATGTCTTCGCCGGAAGCAGAGTGATTGACTTGGTGTTGTTGTTCTGTTCAGATGGGAACAAGGAGTAGGACCTCTTGCGAGCATGGGCCTTGGGCACCTGGTAGGTTGATACTTGAGCAGGCTCCGGCGTCCTCAGAGGGGAGCGGGCCGGCTGCCATACGGCGTTTTGTCGGAGAGGGTTGGCATAGGTGGGAGACCCAGAGGGACTCTCGATGCGTGCCTCCTCCTCCTTCTCGGGCACGAGGCTGTCGGTGCTGTCCATGCGTCGCAGCGAACGGGCCCGGCCGACAGGGTTCATCATGTGGTTTTCGTAATCATCGTCGCCATTATAGACACGAATGCCGGCCTTGAGTTTATTACGCTCCGACTCCCACTTGTCGCCTTGGCGGGGGCCGATAGTAGATAGAGTATTTGATCGCAAGAATAGATGCAGACCGCCGGTCAGTAGGCCAGACACGTTGGCGACGACGGAGGCAATCATGGACAGCGTCAGGGCCTGGCCAGTGGCACCTCGCTGTTCCGTGAAGGAGAGGTTGAAGAAGAAGGGGATGAGGAGAGTCTGTATTGGTCAGTAAGTGGACTCGGACAAGATGTCATTGTTAATACTCACAGTCGAGATGAAGGCTACTGCCAGGAAGTAGACCATTCTAGACGCGGCAATGCGCTCACTGTTCTCGATTCTGATGTTGTTGTGGAGACGGAAGAAGATCACCAGAGCCGAGCCCAGCAACGCCGCCGAGATAAAAGTGAGTAGTACGAAGCAGCCCTCCTTCCAGCGCTGGACGAACCAGAAAAGCGAGGCAAAGCAGAAGTTGGGAGGGCGGACGAAGAGGGTGACTAGGTAGGTAATGAGGAGAAAAGTGCCGACGATGGCGAGGCAAATGGTAACATTCCACTTGCCACGAGACGGCAGTGGGTTCTTTCGTAGGGACCGGATGGCCACCTCTAGAGCGAATACGAGTTGGATGTAGGGAACAATGAAGACCGCTACACACGATTGTTAGCCGAGCTTCTGAGATACGTAATTGAGGGCTACGAACCAGGCAGCATCATTTGGGAGGTGATAGTGCAACCTAAAGTCAGGAGATGGTCGAGTCCAGTCGACTGTGCAATGGCAAAGACGATGCCTTGAACGACGATGCCGACAGATAGAACGAGAGGAAAGGACTCTGCAGGTCCGACGAAGGTGAACCCATGCGTTCTGGAGCAAAATGTTAGTCCATTGACTTGACCCATTGGTGACGGCAACGATGGGCGTACCTGAAGCCGAACTTTTGGTTGTTCCTCTTGGCCGTTGCATAACCATCCCAAAAGATACCAATTGCTGTTGCAAATGCGGCAATAACATTGAAGACGGCGAGAATGATGGTCGAGGTTCGAATCGATTTGGCGGCTTGAAAGCGGAACTGGTTAATGATGGCCGATGTCGAGTTGTTGGTTGCCTTGAAGGGCCCTCGTAATGAATCCGCCACGCCATTACTGTCCGTCACGCTGTCATCGTCGGCCCTCGTCCACAAATCGCCTCCATATCCCCAGCTATCCATCTCGTCGATTATTCAACTGGCACTGGTCGTCGAAGAGATGAGCGCAGGCGTCGAGCCGCAGCGGTGCCAGATATTAATTCGCTTTCCGAACCATCTAATCCATAGAAGAGTCGATGTTGATCCGGTCGTATGAGTTGTAGAAGAGTATAGGTGAGTCGAACAAGGAGAGTGAGGAGAAGAGGAGGAGGAGGAGGAGGATGGCGATCGTACGGATGGGATGGAGAAGTGAAAAGAGTAAGTGAAAAGACAGGACGGATGGTAATGGACTGCCGCTCTTGGACGAAGAAGGCGGACCAGACGAAACAGACACTAGGCGAAGTCGGGACCTACGAATAGAAACAAGGAGTAATAGGACCAGCCACTCAAGAGAAGGAAAGGGACCGGCCTGAAGGAAGGGAAGGGAAAAAGAGACCAGTTCCAAAAAGTCAGACGGAAGGAGGAGGAGGGAAGGCCGCATGAAGAGGTCAAAAGGCGATCACAGAAAGCGTGGCAGAGAGGGAGAGGCCCACCTCAGCAGGGGGCTAACATAGATAGATAGGTACCCAGTCGCAAGTTGCAAGGGACAGGCTCGGGAAGGGCCCCCGCGCGGGCCAGATGAGGTCCGGAGAGTTAGCCAAACCGCTAAATGGGGCCCAAGTCCAACTCTGGTCCAGGGTAACACGGCTGATGGATGGCCTACCAAAGAGGGCGAGGGTGATGGCGAGGGCCAGAGCAAGGGTGATGACCGTGACACTCTTACGGAAAAGACGGGCCATCCAGAAGACGGGGACAGGAACGAGCGAGTGAGACGCAAGCTGTACCTCGAGTCGACGTGCGACTGGATGATGGGCAGTGAGGGGCTCAGATGGGGCGAACGTCTCTTGACGTGCATGTTGCTGGTTTGGGGATGGACTCCTAGGGCCACCATACATAGATAGGTACACGCATTCACGTCTAGTACGGTTTGGTATCATGGTATCCAGGTATCTTGGTCTTGATCCTCCTAGAGAGGGCTCAAGAACATGGAAGACAGGGCTGGGCGCGGGATGACAACCATGTTCATCACGACCCCGCCGACTTACTGGCTGGGCTGATTTGGGATTCTTTGCCGTGCTTGCCTCTCAGACCCCTTGCCTTCCAGCGGAGCAAGGTGCTCCAGCTCAACGATACGAAGGCCATGGGAACCTTGGGAGGGGGAGCTGAGGTGAGGAGGAAAAAACTGGGCTCTCATGCAGTATCCCGTCGCAACGAGCCGGCAGAATATGTGGTGAGGATGCCTGAGGTGCAGCAGCATGCGTGTGTGCTGGAGCGAACCCAGACCCGAGGCTCGAGGGACAGGCACCGTCAGAGTGAGGAAAGGAACAAGCACAGAGGGTGAGAGACTGAGTGAGGGTGTCAGTGTGGGTGAGGATGAGGGTGACGGTAGAGAGGAGGGCTTGAGGCGATGGCATTGAGTGGCGATGAGGTGAAGCAGTGATGTAACACGTCTGGGTTTCGTAGTGTCGCCCAAAATGCCTGAGCCCCTGGCTGTGAGGTTGAAGTTGACAAGGTTTGACGTTGGACTTGAGCCCCAAATCTGGGGGGCACTAGGAGACAACCTTTGTGCGCCTTGCTGCTTTGGGACTAGTGCAGTGTTGCCAAGTGAGTGGATCAAACCGCCGCAGGGATCGTGGAAGGGGCGGCTGATGGCGATGCCGAAACCTTTTTCGTTCCCTCTTCTCCAAACCCTCCAACCCACACAACTCCTCACCAGCCCCTTCTCAGTCTGCCTATCCAATCGTGTCGTTTTCTGCGGCCCCATCTTCCTCTGATTCTGTTTAATCTGGTCTGGTGTGCCGAAATCCTCTCGAAATGCGGTGGATGCGAAGCCATCCTCCTGCCTCCGAATGGTTGATTTGATGGGTTGGCTGGGAATGGCCTCACCATTCGGCTCAAAAGTCTTTGGTTGGCAACCCATGTGTCCACGCCGGCAGA